TATCTATGTTGTCTATTTTTTTTAAAATTCTCTTTCTTTTTTTTAGTTTTAGTGAACATATATAATTTAAATACGCCCACCCACACACACTCAAATTGTTTTATCATGTATTTTGCTAACAAAAAAAAAACGAAAAGAAAAACCAAGAGAAAATCTTCAGAAACACAAAAACCTGAACGCTCAAAGCCCTGGGTATGTTGACAATAGCCATAAGCAGCATTTTTTGTGTTGTTTTTCTGTGTTATTTGTGCGTAAATTATAGTTTATCGATCCTTATGTCCATGTGCAATGCTCTACAAACTGTTATACATACTACTGTTATAAAAAAATCCTTACAACCTTTGTTCAGGCCCATATGTTGTCTCTAGAGTCTAGACCTTCGTTCGCTCAGTTGTGGCTGACAAAAAGTAAGTCTTAACTTTCTCTACATAGTATATATAATTATATACATACATACATATATTTATATATAAATATTCAACTCTTTTTTGTATCATTTCTGTTCTTTTGGTCATCAAAATGTATGTATTTTGATGAATATTATTTGGTGTGTGTGTGAGAGCGCCAGACAACAGATCAGAGCAGGTATCTACATTCAATTTGTTTTTCTTTCAATTACTATTATGATATAATACTATACTATCCTAAGTCATTCGGTTATGGTATGGTTGGTACTAAACAAAAAACAACAACAACTACAACAACACCCCTATCCCCTTACAACTATAGATTATAGATAGTAGAGTTAACTGTAGGAGGCATCTAGTTATTGAAATCATACTGTAATTCACATGTTAGCGAGTACAAAAACATTATTAATCTGGAGCCTTTTTAATTTGTTGTTATCGTATCGTTCTTCCAACAGTTCAAAGTTCTCTAGCTTCCTCGCCTCACAGCTTCAGCTACACTAAAATAAAATGATATAGCTAAAAATACTCGAGTACGAGTACTAGTACTCCTCCCTTCATGTAGGCTCTCAGGCTTTTCTTAAACCGATAATCATAGACACGGTTTTAGCTAGCATAAGTAGTCGATTGGCAGTTTGGAAAATCCTAGCTCCATTTGGTTTTGTTGTATTTATGGGAAACATCAGCATGAAATAGATTGAACTCCTTTTCCCACTCTGAAATATCCAACTCAAAATCATTGAATACCCTTGACCCAGCGTAGCCTAGGCTAGTACAATTTTGCACTTCGATCCTTGAAGAGCACCATAACCCTATCCTAACACACTCATCCTGAAACTAATGCGAACTTGTTTGAGTACCTACACACATAGTATAGTTATAACCCAACCATAATCTATCTATCTATATGTATAAATACACGTATTACTGTAACTATATCGTGTAACTTAATCATCTGCAATGACAAGTGAAAAACTGCCCTAGAATATCGAGTGAATCCGAATCTCCATCCCCCCTTCATTCACTCGGGGTAGTTTAGCGCAAAATTGATGTTGGACTTTGGGGTCTGGCAAAATTGCCGCACCGTTGAGGGGATATCGCCGGCCATATCCAATTTCGTTTGGCCCGGTTCGATTATCCTGCGGTGTTAGAACGGCGTGCTTCAGACGAAAGTACCTCAATGCAAGACAGACAAACTACCAGATTTGGTGGCAATATTACGTACAATTTTCACAACCAAAAACTAAACTCGCATCTTTGTACACAGTCTTTGTTTCTACTCGTATCTGTAGTATATATATCTCTCTCTGGTAATCCTATTGAAAAGACTCTGTAAATATTTCATGGCCGCATTTAATTTTGTAGAGTTGCTTTTCTCTTATCACTTGTTCTTGTTTTAAGGGTCGGGAATGCAAAACAATTGAGTACTAAATGAATTTTTAGATTAGATAATGGATAATACAGAGTTAGCAGAATAGGTATCTTGGTCAAATTTGTAATATTGTTTTCCTTAAATACTATTTTTTGTATTCCATTTTAATGTTCTGACATCTTAACTTTTGAATAATGTCGCTATGTGATGTCTTATTTCCTACTGCAGTGGGTGAAACGGACAATGTAGCTGATATTAATTCAATTCTAGTTTCGAATTTATATTTTGTATGTACACAGTTTTAGGTATTCTTTCGTAAAGTGCGTCTAAAAATGTCCAGACTATTCTAGTCTATAACTAGTTGTAAATCTAGTAATAACATTGTTTTTTATGATTTTTGTATTTTTAATGTTTGGCTCTTTTCCAGAACACCGAAATTTCAGTATAAAAAGTGTTTTATATATAAAACAATTTTAAAAATTAGTTTAAAGATGAAATTAGAAAAATGGTATAAAAAAATAAACTGTGATTTACAAAGTAAAGATTAAAAAAAAAAACAGGTAGACGATATCCTTTTTAGTTTCGATTTTAGTTTAAATTGGCCATTTCACCCACAGTGCACTTTGCCGTCTTTTAAATAAAACCTTGTTAAAATCTTGAATAGAATTTTCGTTAGACCAATTTTTAGTATCATTAAATTTTGAAGCTCCGATATTCTTACCTGTACAGCTGGGTATGGTATAGTGAAATTTGGTTTGCATTCCTTGACTGTAGTCAAGTTTTAGTCAACTGGTGGTGGTCATTTATTATCGATTATCGGTTATTTGATGTGATTTAATTTCAATATTGCTCTAAATGTAAAACTGTCAACATACAATGCACGCGTTCGTTTGAAGAGAGTACAAAAAAGAAAATAGCTACGAGTTTTCGTTATTAATTTTGATGGGCTTTAGGTGTTTGCGAAAAGAAACCCAAATTATGATTAAAACTTAACTTAGTCCACCAATCTGTCTGTCTTTGCGCTGGGCGACACGCGAGTAGCTGAACAAATTGCAGTCACTGTATTACTAAAACCCGACACACACCCATACCAACGGCGTAAATGTCTGCTGGGTTCAGTTGAAAGCGTGTCACATTAATTTTGCTGAGCGAAGAGTCCCCTGCGTCCGTCCTCTTTCTCTTTCTCTCTCTATTTCTCTATCTGTGTATATCTATATATAAATGGTATATGTCTATCTTTGGATTATGTTCTGCATGCCCTGAGTGAAGAGTATGCTTACCCACCCGATAAATTCCAAAAGGACGCAGGCGATGTGCTGGATTTTAATTGCTTTTGGCATATTGTATCTCCGAAATGAAGGCACATCACAGTTATCGATATAACTGTTGGACTTTTCGGTCCTTGTCTTGCACCATACACTCTCGTTCTTTCCACATGCATATGTATAACAACTGCTATAACTTTTGATATTAGACCGAATCGCATAACATACGCGTCTTGTACAATCCACACAATCCGGAGGGCAGTATCACCACCAACCACCACCTCGACCACACCATTTCTCAAAGCATCCGAAAAGAAGGATTCAGAAGAGATCTATGATAATGTTTGTTTTCACAATTTTGTTTAGTGTTGATTATTTAATCATTTTTCAAATCGAAATAATCAATAATGCTTTCTTAGTTGCAACTACTTTTGAAAAGTTTGAAAAGTATTACAAGATCGAAAAGTTTTCAAAAATAAAATTAATTTTAAACATAATAAAAACAGAATTTGATTTGCCAAAGATCTTTGAAGCTTTCGACCAAAGTTGATTATTTTTTTTTTGTATTTATATATAATCTTTGAGTAAATTTATTAAATTGCAATGTTTATATTCTTCATAAGCTTTAAACAATTTTTGTTGCATTTACTATTTACTAAAGCTTACGGAATATAACAAATTGTTTTTCCTTATCCATTTTCTGTTCGTTCGGCAATTAATCACACAACTACCTAGCTAATGCCTCTACTATACTTAGTGCAAATGCAAAAAAAATCAAAAAAACCGACAGGTTTGCCTACATATGTTAAATCACTTTTAATGTTGTAACGCCAATGGAAAGTAAAGCATAAAGGAAGAAAAACGAAAGATATATTTAGCCAGCTTGTACGAAAAACGTTTCTATACAAAAAAAAAACCAAAACCAAAAACAAATCAACAAACAAAGAGAAAATTATATAAGCAATTGTTTAAACTCTTTTGAACAAAAAAAAAAAAACAAAAAATCAAAAACAAAACTGCATAACGATAATATTTCTAGTTTAATGTTTTGATTGTTCTATTCTTTTTAAATTAATTTATTGAAATTTTAATAAATCAAATAAATGGAAAACAATTGATTGAGTTTTTTTCTGGGAAATACACTTCTGGACCTTTTTTCATTAAAATGTATATTACCGCGTGGTATTATCTTTTTCTGATACCAGTTATACATTATATAAGACTCTCTCTCTAGCTTTCCAGCAGCTGGGGATTTCGTCTCATGCGTACATGGTGCCTGGAAATCCCTCAAAACAGATTGATGACACATGGTCTATTCCCAGCGAGTCAGACTTACTGAAGTCAGCGATTCACTCATGGTATAGAACGCTCAGAATTTTCTAGAGGTCAACCAATGATATTTCTCAAAGAAATTAATTAAAAGTGCATAATGAAATATTGATTACCATACAGAATAAAACAATGGGGAGCCCTACTTAAGTATGGTATTATATTTTAGCATTTATGGGTCAGACATCTATGTATTCGTACATTTGTTGTATACTGTTTGTGGGAGTCTTTTCAGGGGCTTGTCATTTGCAGGGCCGTCGAAATGTTCACAGCCCACTGAAGCTGAAATGGTCACCTATATTTGCAAATTGGAATTGTTTCTTATAAGTTGGAATTATAATAGCCGGATTAATATCGCCATAGCGTGGGAGCTGGCCATCCATGTATCTATTAGCATTATTCGGATAGCTCAGGGAGCGTGCCAAAATTTACTTAGCTTCCAAGTGCTAAACCGCCTTAACCAACTGACTAATTCAAGTTCAGTGGAATTTCAAGAGAGTGAGAGCAACTCTCACGCAACCCGTAACCCGTAACCCGTCTCATAAAGTTGTCTTGCCCAAGCCGCTGGTGTTCAGTCGACTTTTAGTTTCGTTTCGAGCTTCCTCGCGGGCGGTTGTATCGCACAAAATTGTGTAGTCTTTTAAAAGGTGTGTTCAGTGCTGGTTCGAGCTGCTGACATTTTATAAAAATTTGGTCAGCAAATCAAATCAAACTCTTTGTGGTCATAAAAGCCAAAACTAAACCAGGGCCAACACACAAAAGATTCAAGACACAAACTTTGATCAACTCTTGCCGGCTCGTCCACACAACTCAATTCAAGTCAGTCAAGTGACAAGGTTTGCATAACTCTTTAGAGTTGTATAGTACAAAGACCCCACTCCAGGCCTCCATTGCCGTCTACTTTACTTGTAAGCCCGAAAAAGCTGCAAACCAAATAAAAATATCAAAGCAAATAGCAAAGTGTTAAGTAATAGCAAATAAAAATTAGGCAGAAACTGGAAACAACACAAGCCGAGCTTAAACAAATCAGAGACTATTAATTTATGCCTGCAAAAGTCAATTAGTAATTATACCTGCATTATACGAGTATGTGTATACTTAGACACGCCCACAAATCAAACTGGAATCGATCCGAAACAGGGCATTTATAAGACCCCCGCCCCCAACTGACTCACATATAAAACTCGGAGAAAAAAAACGAAAAACAATTTTGAAAATGCGTGTATTAAAATGCCCGGACGATGCCAAGATCATAAATACAATTTATTAGATGGAACAATCAAAGAGAATGGCGGTCGAGACAGGAGAAGCTCATTGAAATGCTAATGTCCGAATGACGGGACAGAGACTCAACGTGAATTCAGATGATGAGGCCGAGTCGAGTGCTGAAGATACAATAATGGTTAAGATACACCTAAAAAAATAAAGAGACAGAAGAGTGAGTGGTTGGCCAGACAACTTGAGAAATGGTGAAGCAGGAGAAAGGTTTGATTGGATGCGTAGATATGGTTTCTTGCAATAACAGTTTGAAGAGTTGTTTTTTTAATAAGAGAAACAAAAATAAGTCGGACATTGATCCAATTCCATCTAGAGTTAAGAAACAGTATAAAAATAGCTCGAAAACCTAATCGCACAAGATTTTCGTTCAAATAAGATACAAATCTGATTAAGTGAAATACCAAAATCATCTTTAACATGTAAAGTATATTTGAAATGGCAGTAGACCCTCATCAATCTTAAAAGAATCGGAGACTTCAGAGAGGCACTCGCTAAGTGCACCTCAAAGAAGGGTATATAAAAAGTGAAAAACTTCCCCAAACATGTCTTGATTTCTTTGGTTAGATAATGAACCATGAGACTCACTTTTAGCCAGAAACCGAAAAAAAAACTTTGTGGTTTGGCAACTTAACCAGAACAGACCAACAAGACAACTTTCAAATAGTTGAGAGAGACCAAGCCTGAGACTGCGAGACTGAGTCAGAGCCGAAGAAGGCCAACCGGGACGGCGGGGGCTGGGCATGGGCCTGGGCCTAGTGACAAGATCGATAGAGATACTCATATTATTAACTGACTATGATCTGGTTATGGCATGGACAAGGCCGTTGCGGCTTAACGGAAGCTTAACCAGCCGTATCCATCCGTATAATTTTAATTGATTTTTGTCTTTGCAGTTAATTGATTGAAGCCATGATATCTACCTGGATTGGACTCCTCCTGCTGTGGGTGGTCGGAGCCCTGGCCAATGATAATCTCCACGTGGCCTTCGAGTGGCGGGAAATGGACTTCAAGTATGACACCTCGGATCAACGCTGGGCGGCCATCGAAAAGGGAGACTTTAAGCCCGCTAATGTTATACCCTTTGGCCTGGAGGTTTACAAGCACCGACTCTTTGTGACCCTGCCTAGATGGCGGGCCGGAGTGCCGGCCTCGTTGGCCTACCTTGATCTTAATGGTAAGCGAATGAGTTGCATTGTTGGCGCTGCAAGTAGAAGCAGCAGCTGCGGCCACATTTGAATTTAATTGCAGTTGCTTTTTCTGTGCCAAGAACTGATTTAAAATCTCAGCAATTGTTTTGGATTGTCTGACGGAACTGTCTGATCAACTTGACCATCCAAAACAATTCAGTTTCCTTTCGCACTTGCCGGGCAATTACCATAATTCCGCACGCTGCAGCGTGCTGGCGTCATTAACTGCCTGAGAGCCCCCACAGCCCACTCGGGACATAGCTAATAGATTCAAAGCTCGTTTGGGTAACTGTGGGGGCTGTGAGCGGACAGTAACCATAGACATTTGGTCATAACAAGTGCCAAGATTGTTGAGATGGTGCTACAATGTTTTCGATACATTGTCGTTTATCATTTATTTGGGTTCTACAAACGGAGGTATTGATGTAATGCCTCTGAAAACAGATCTGGTCCGTAGAAGGAAAGTATAGATAGGTTCAGAAGTAAGCTAGGGTACGAAGAATCTATACACATAGATACATCAAGTCGTAAAGAAAGTACGTATTTGTTAGAATTTTATAATATTTGTCTCTACATCTTTGATATGGAAGTGAATTATGTACTAAATGATTTTCAGTTGAAGTTAATTAACATGAAAACGTATATGTTAGTGACCCACTCTGAACCCCTCAACAAAGCTGCTCTACCCTTTGCTGACTTACAACAAAGCGGATTGGAAGTTGCCGCAACCACAAGATCAGCCTCAGCTAATTAGCAAGCTGAACAATCAGCCCCCATACAATTAAAAGCCAGCGCCAGAGTGCAGTCAATGTCAACGGAGTTTGTTTGATTAGTCATCTGGGAGGTAGTCACCCAGTGAATACCCAAATGTTGTCGATATTCCAATTAGCAGAAGCCGAAAAAAGCAAATGCAAATGACTTAGATCATAACAACAAAGTAATTGAGATTTAAAGAATTTGAGATCATTAACCCAGAATGAATGGAATTATATTTATGAAATTCTTTCTCTTTTATAGATACCTCGACTAAAATGCCTGCTCTGAAGCCTTTTCCCAGCTGGGAGGCCCACAATCTGGCAGAAGCGGAACCAGAATTGGTTTCTCCATTCCGTGTGCGGGCTGATCGCTGTGGCCGGCTGTGGGTATTGGATCTACGTATCTCTGGTGTCCTGGAGAAAACAAAGATGTATGGAGCACCCCAGCTGCTGGTCTACGATCTGCACAACGATGACCTGCTGCGCCGACACACGATCCCCGCGGAACAATTCAAACAGGGATCTTTTCTGGCCAATCTGGCCATAGAAGATGGGGACTGCGAGAACACCTTTGCGTATGCGGCGGATCTGGGTAGTCCCGGTTTGGTTGTCTACTCGTGGAAATCGCAGGAATCGTGGCGCGTGCAGCATCACTTCTTTCATCCAGATCCCATGGCCGGAAACTTTAGCGTGAATGGCATCGAGTTTCAGTGGGATGATGGACTCTATGGTTTGGCGTTGTCCAAGCCTATGGAAACGGGCTTCTCCACGCTGTACTTCCATCCCCTGTGCTCCACAATGGAGTTCTCTGTAAGCACATCGGTGCTGCGCAACAAGACTCTGGCCACATCGGCAGAGATCTATAGGGATTTCAAGGTGCTCGGCTCTCGTGGTCCCAACACCCAGGCTGGGGCTGAGTTCCTGGATCAGGAGACTGGTGTGCTCTTCTATGCCCTGCCGAACTTGAATGAAGTTGCCTGCTGGCGTACCTCTCAGGACTTCACCCATAATGCTCAGAGCCGCATCTTTAGGAACAACGACAGCATGATCTTTCCCAGCGATGTAAAGGTAGATCAGGAAAAGCGTCTCTGGGTCTTGTCCAATCAGCTGCCAGTGTTTATCTATGACGAGCTGTATGCCGGATCGATCAACTTCCGCATTCATACAGCCAGTGTGAAGGAGGCCATCGAGAACACAGCCTGCGAGAGTAGGACTTCCCCACTGCCGGATATCATTAACAAGTTAGGGGATATCCTCAATACAAATGTCATTCTTAAGTCGACTTCGGATGCCTCCCCGATGTCTGCCAGTTCTCTGATGATGGCCACTCTCGGTCTACTGATGAGCTTAAGGCTCTTTTAGATCCTTCCTACAGGATCATCATCTCCCTGTCATCTGTATTATAAATAGTTCTTAGCTTTGCTTGTAATGTTGATTAAATGTAAGAAATTTATTTGATTAGTACTTTTATTATGCTTAGGTAGGATATATGGAATGCCAAGCCAGCTTGACTCCATCTATTAATACCCAGACTTCTTCTTATAGACAGTGGACACAGCCACATCCATGGTTTCACCGCTGGTCTGGGACTGACCATCTTCTGATGTTTCGCCCAATTTGCTTTTCTCCTTCTGCTGCATGCGCTTGATAAAGCCTCCACAAAAGAATAGAGTCATCTGGAAAAGAGGAAAATCAAATGATAAATATAATAGACGCCATAACGGATATATCCTACATGTTCCAGTATTCCAATGAGTCCTAAAACCGAAAGACCCAACAAGAAGCCCAAAGAGCCGCCTATATCTGCTATAAACTGCGTTGTATCGTAACTTGGGCGCTCTTCAATCATCTGTAATGGGAAAAACCAATCATTAAATGCTCGATATGTCATTTACCATCCATACCGATATCAATTTGGTTGTATAGTATATATAGATTAGAGAGCGGGGCTCTGGCTGGTTAAAGACTTTACGGCTCTGTATGAAAGTTGTGTAGATTCGGGACTGGCAGGGTTGAATACAGTCACAGTCAAAGTCATCCTCATTCTCATAGACCCTTAACACGGGAAAAACTATTAGGTGGGAACAATTCTTCAAGGGATAGAACCTTACTCCTTATAGTCCGCTATTAGATTCCTCATAGATAGGGAGTCATTGCAGGGCTCATTGACAATCTCGTGCATCCAAGGACCCGAACACTTTGACTCATCCGCCAAATCCTGCCAGATGCAATGATCCCCGCACTGAAAAAAGGTTAAAGTTTAGCTGAAGGCAAAAAATCTTTCGTTTAAGAGTACCTTCAAATCACTGTAACCCTCATCACTCGAGCAGGGTTCCTCGCGAGTCTCCACATTCGAAAAGTATTGACTCTGGAGCTTGATCTCAATCTCCTCATTGATATTCACGAAAACATATTCCACACGGCCCGAGCCCTTCATGTTGATTTCTTTGGGTGAGCATTCGAAAATTTAAGGTTTCATTTTAAATGAATTTGAAAAGATTTTACCTGTAAAGTTCTCTCGTTTATCGTGAATGAAGACATGCCAGCCTGATCCTCCAGTGTCCACGTCACTGGTCGAGGTTGTGGATCTGGCATGTTCTAACATCAGAGAGTAGCCCACAGATTTGGAGACTCGCTTGGTGGGTGCCTTCGGGCGTAGGGTATAGCAGCGACCCATATAAAAGTGCAGACTGCTGTCGATTTCTAGATCTAAAAAGCATGTGGGTGTGTGAGTATTCCTCTAACATATTGCTGAAACTGTACCCACTGTTCTTATCACCATTTAGTCCGTAGAGGATAAAGGTGTCGTCGACGTCATGGGTGGAATTCTCAAAGAACTCATCTAGGGATATTTCGCCAAAAGGATACTTCATCCAGCAGGTGGCATACTTTGGATGCGGACAGTATGCTCCAGACAGGTTCTACAAAAGAACAATCATACTTAAGGGAAACTGCTAGGGTTCCTATATGACTAACTCACCGTGAGAACGTCCTCTCTGTAGGGTGGTTCCCGACATATGGTTATCGCTGGCATCTCAATTGTTTCGTTTAGGTTGTAGTAGGAGTGTGTAGAGATCGGAGGATCGTAGAGTTTTGCAAAGCACTCGTAGAGCTGGACAATCACCACGATGCTGCAGGCGAAGAGCACCAGGTAGCGGATGAGCTTTGCTGGATCCCTCAGTAGCCAGGCCCGCGTCTCCGACCAGTAACCCATGTCGAGTGGAAAGTGAAACTCAAGTGAGGTCTCAATGGCACTTTTCGTGTTTCCAATTTCAGTCATGCTACGGCCAGCCTGCACAAGTTCTCACAGCTGGTCAAGATAAGCGTAATATTGATTTATGCACCATGGTGTTGTTTAGCCCCTAGATAAAGCTGGCGTTCTGCTCTCTCTCTCCGTCCATCCCCATTTTGGAGGGTATAATCTATCAGGACCGCTTGTATCTATTGTTTGCAAAATGTTTTACGAGTAGCACAGGCAATTCAAGCGTAACATTACCAAAACATGCTGTTTATAATTGTTTTGCGCCTGGTGTACGAGTATCTACTCCTATTCCGCATAACCGTATCGTGTCTCCGGTTATGGCGGGTATATACGCGGTATGTTTGCAGTATCTCTAGCTGAAATCAGCGCCATGGTAACCAATTTATGGTTTTATATCTGGTTTACTCACTGGCGGCTGCATGTGCAAAGAATTTTGAGGCATTACCTACGGGTTCGATCATGGGGAATCGTTGATCCTCTTTACTGAAAAATCGAAGTGAATCAAAAGCTTAGATGGATGCCATATAACCTCTACATACAGAAGTATTTTCTTGTTCTTTGGTATAAATAGTACTAAGTATTAAGATAATAAGGTGAAATAGATTATGGTTAATGTTTAAAATTTATTTGAGGAAACATTCAAATATTCATTAAGTTTGTTTACTTTTAAATAAACAATCATATCCTTCGATGATCCAAACATTCTAAAATTAAGGAAAGGATACACAAGTTTGAATTGATATTGTTGATTCAATATTCCTTCAAAATATGTTTAACATTTTACAACTTTTCTATCATCTAAAAATATTGAAATATTTATGTGTTGACTGCTCTTTGGATGTCAGGATATGTGGATAACCACTTAAATATTGAGTGTAAATGATCCGTTAATATCTTTCAACCGGCTTAAGCTGAAAGATCGCACCAGATATTCTTCGTTTCATTGAATTACATTTTCTACTTAGTTATGGATTTCTATCTAATGATTTCACACCTTTTCACTTGCTAATTGGGCTCATATTATCCAACTTATATAAAACCCCATTCACCTAAGCATATACGAGTATACATAGTTTGACCTTATAGACATCCCCAGCTAAATCTAAGCAAACACCTAGACTAATGCCCAGCCATTGGCAGGCTATGTACCTACACTGCACTGTATACAACAGGCCATATGAACAGATGTACGAGTACCTACATATCTACAGATCTCTAGCTTTTTGCAGTAGAAAAACATATGAAAGTCAGGCCAAACAATGCGTAGAGGATCCAGCAGCCAGCAGTCAGTGGGAGAATAAGAAGCCCCCGAAAAGAATAGCCGAAACATTCCTCAGTTGTGACGTTAAATCAGAGCAGATGAGACCTCGCCACGACCGACCCACTGCTATATATTGTACCTAAGCTCCTATATACTTGTATAGCTAGCACATAGAGGGAAAGTCAAAGAAGGAAAAGCAACAAGAACAAAATAAAAACAACAACAAAAAAAAAAAGAAAAGAAAAGAACTAATAAACAAAAAGAAACTTTCGACTAAAAATAGACAAATTGAAACATTTCGAGAGATGAAAACACCAATACACTACGTGGACATGGACGTTCTGACGAACACGAGCGAAAAAAGTGTTGCTTTACTGCTCAGCCGCACAAATACAAATACAGATACAGACAGACTCGTGTATCTGTGAGATATGTTGACGGACTCATCGGTCCGTACCACGTACCACACGGCGTATGCGTTCGTTCTTTCTCTAGATTTTCGTATAGTTAGTGCCCAGGACGCAGTCACACAGTCTTTCGCCAGATGCGTCTGTGTGCGTCTGTATCTAGTAAATTTTAGATATTCCTATAGATATATATCTGTACGTATAGCTAGCGCAGAAGCGAACAAACTGCAGAGTAGAGCGAAGAAATTGTTCGCTTGTGTTGAACTTCTTCGCAACTAAATAGCTTTTGTTTTAAATTTAGACCACAGCGGCGTCTATATTAAACGCATATGAAATGTTTTTTAGATTTAGTAGGTATGCTCTCCGAGGTATATAGAGGATCCGCTACCTCTACACCTCTATATTATTATAGACCCATATGTTCGCAATCTGCCCGCAGATCCAGAGCTCAGAAGTTATCTACCTGATGCTGCTCCTTCTGCTGCTGCTCACATCTTTTGAAATTTTGGTTACCTTAACTTGACCACACAACTTCCTAGAAATAACCATATATCTGTACAGTAAAAGCTCCTTAGAGTGGATAGTACAAGTACCTCTGACTCCCTGAGGAAGGTGTTGAAAGGACTTAAAAGTGTTCTACAAAATATGTTCACCCGAAATCAAAAGATTTCTTTTTCAGAGATCTCCACTGTGAAAACATTAGATATATGTATCTCTAGATTGGATATATAGAACAGTCTTCTTCTGCTCCCGACCCACATAGATGGGTTCCTTTGCTTTCAGTGGAGTATGAAATATGTTTTAAAAATACTTTTTGCTTGTCGCTCATAAATTTCTAAAAACGAAATCGAAAAATACTTTTACAATCTGTTGCGTACTGACTCATTTCCATACTGTCTATATGGTCTGTATATGATTAATCAGTCTGCATACACACATTACACACAGGGGCGTCGTCGAAAAAGGGGCTTGAATACCTCCTTCTTTCTCCCCAAAAGAAAATTATTTTCATTTCTCGTTTTCACTCATCATTAATAAAAGTCTCGACGCTATATAGACTTCGATTATTGCATTCCGCTGCACTTGAGTTTTATATAGTAGTTGCTTCTGTGGATAATTTGGCTGCCTGGCGGCTGCTCGGGCACTCAGGCTCGAGTGCCGTCGATTTAATTGGGTGACAAATGCTTACAGAAATAATTCCTAATGCTCCACACATCAGTGACTAATACTTAATGATTCGATGTGATTGCCTAATTAATAAGCAATATATGACAACTGCATATTCATATCTTCAAGTGTATATACATAATATGTATGGAGGAGCTAGATCCTCTGCAGATTGGATTTACATTAGATGCGTGTGTGGTTTTTAATTGAGCCCCGGCAATTAATCATTCGGGACCCACACGAATCGGACATCGACAAACCAGCTGAGGCCTGGAAAACATTTAGGATTGCCAAAATATATAAACAAATTGTTGTACTATAAATATAAACAGTTTTACCTGATTTTTAGTTTAGAAAATATTGTAGTTTCCTTTGTTCAATGTGTTCTATACTGGAAAAAATTTTAAAATGATATCATAGCTTTATAGAAATCACTACCCTTTCCGTTTTGTATTTACACAGGTGTGTATATGATGTGTGCAGAATCCTTTTCATAAGTAATTTTCTTAAATATTTATTAATATCATTAAAGAATTTTTCTTTATAGTTTTAGTTCTATTGGAGGACGGTAGAATATATCATTTTTTGGCTGTAAATCCACGCTCAAAGTAAACATTTTCCGGGCGACGAAAACTATTTAATTTTCATATTTTGTATACCTATTCCATCCTCTCTTACAACTGTCTGAAACTAATGATATATGTAGCTTTTCCTGAAATAGTTTAAGAGTATGTACTATAGAATAGCTAAATTATTGCTATACTTTATGGATTAGAATGATCCATTAGTTTTCATTTATTTTAATATCTTACTTGCAAAAAGAGACGATCTATCAAAAAAGGTTTCGACTTGACGTCTCCCATATTCAAGCAAAACAAAGAGTCACAGAGCTGATCATTAGGACTCTTCCGTTTGTTTCCCCTTCGGAGGGATTCTTTAGCTGAAATACTACCAGAGATATTCAGCCAGACCCACTCTTACATAATCCGGGCGTAATGCAGGAAGTGTTCATTCATTTTTCATGACAGGCATTATAGGCGAAAGCGAGGAGCGCATGGGCACATGTGCTACCTGGCAACGGTCCTCCCTACCCCACCGGCTCTCCCCTTTCGAGAATAATTTGCAAAATTAAGAGAGAATTCGGGTATTGGGTGTGGGCATGGGAATACGGTTCACTTTGCACGGTGCACCGGAGATGCGATGCAGATGCGGCCGAGTGCCCGACGTTGACCGACGAGCGGCGAACGTCAGCCCGACGATAGATATTTTTATATCGACAATTTGGATAGGTTCCAATGCATTTAGACGAGAGTTATCTATAGAATATGTATGTATTTTGGTCACGGTTGCCGTTTTTAAAATATTTTCCCTCTGTACCAATTGCTGTTTCAAAATTTCTCGGGAATACCATTCGACAGAAAATTCGGGCAGGGTTACTGATTCTATCTTAAAATCAAAACTGATGGGGCGGGATATATGCCTGTCGTAACCTTTCTGGGTGTCGCATTTACCCACAGTATCACAGTGTGTGACATGTGCGGCCAATGCCGAATTCGATTTATAGAGTACCTAGAAAGTATGTATATTAACTAAACATCTTGCATTAAAATGATTTTAAAATTAAGACCGTAGTCAATTAATACTATACAATGCTTCATAAAAAGCTAGTAAAGTTATTCATTCAAATTTGCTCGGGTTTATAATATAAAGATCTGGATTTTAAAATCCTTTTAATCCTTATATATATTCTTGATCAGCATCAATAATCGTGTCATACAGCTATCTCTGTCTTTCCGTCCGTCTATCATTCCATCCGGCATAGAGCAACCAAATTTGGTGTGAAGGCTCCTGTGATGTTACACTGAATGAAGTTTTCCTCAAAATTTCGCCAAAGTGTGGCATCGAGAAATTTCGAAGATACGACAAAACTAAAAGCGCAGAGTTATAGAAAAAAGCCACACGTTTACTAATTCTCTTTCTCTATCTCACACACTTTTCGTCGTGCAGTGTGCGCGGTGTGGCGAAGGAAAGCGAGATAAAACGTTTGGTGTTGTTGTAAAAATGGAGAAAAAGCAACAGGTGTAAAAAAAAGTTCACACATACTACTTATACTAACTCAGTATCGGGTATAAATGTAGTGCCGCGGCTCTATCCGCATAACTATTATTTCTTAATATTCAATCTTAGTTATTGATGTATCCTGTTTGAAACCATTTACAGAAGTCCGTTCTATAAATGTTCTCTAAATGAAATCACATTAATTGTAAGGAAGCTTGCTTCAATAATAAGTAAGTAATAAATAAACTCAGGATATAAAACTTTATGTATATTTATTTAAGCGTGTGTCGGTCAGACATGAGTTAAAGTATTCAAAATTATAGTACTACTACTGATAGTTAAAAGAAGA